TTAGTTTTAGCACATGGCAAACGAATTGGAAGCTCACCTTCAGTCCACAAAAGCATCAATCTCTTAACTGCTCCTAAACAAATCAAATTCATATAGTCAAGTGGTACATTAGTAACTAAACCAATGTACGGTATTTCAAGCAATCTCGTATAGCCATTGTAGTAGTCTTCATCTTCTAAGCTTCGAAAGTGTTCAGCTGTTCTTGCAGGTGATTGCATTTTTGGAAAGCAAATTCTGCAATTAATATTTGGACCACGAACAAGACATTTCGAGCAACTGAAGCAGCCTGTGTGTCCCTTTGTCTGCAATATAAATGATTTGGCAGGAGTATCACAAACAAAATATTTGATGCGTACCTTATATTGTTTCCCATTGTGATCAAAACCCTCAGTGCTGATGAATGAATATATTCACCTGGACTTACAACTTTTGATACAGCAGTTCTTTTTGTTTCAGAAGTGTTCTACTATCTGCTGGTAAATCACTGAAACAATCATGAAGTTTTAGCCCTTAAGTAGTGCGAATACAGCATTATGAGGTATCTGACAATTCACAACCCAGTCTGCTAAAAATTGTCTTGCACCAAAAACTTCAGTTATATCTTCATTGGAATTATCCTCGCTATATGAAAGAGAAATATATTCATTTGTTTCAACATCACCCTGTAACTCTGCCTGGCAAGAAGACGGTCTTTCAAAGTCATCTCCAATAGTAGCATTAGTCGCAGTTTCAATATTATCTATTGTAAAAGCACTAGTACTAGGCAATCCTTTACGCATTCAGAGTTCTGCAAAACACTTTCCGAACGTAATTTCTGCACTTCCCAAAAAGTCTTCTATAAAAATGTCTATCTGATACAGTCGCAATGTGTTTGCGAATTTTTTTATCAGACATATTTATTTATAGAATTTTTTTTGACAAATTACAGAGTCAAACAACAAACAAATTACGAATATATTATATTCTAATATTGTTTAGAATTTTAGTAGCATAAGTATACGTATATAGTACTCAGGTTATACTTGTTCATCGTGTTTACCTATGACAGTCATGAGAACAGACAAAGAAATGCAAATGAAGCGGACGCCGAACAACATAAGTGCCGCCATCTGTGCGCTAGTTGCGCAAACGCCGCGCACGCGTATGCGCATGCGCGGTATATTTGAATACATTTTTCATTTGCTCATAACAACTCGGTGAGTAACGGGTAAGAGCAGGTCGACCATTGTTTGACCCGGCGGGTAACGTATGGGTCTAAACCCACTGCGTCATAAATTGGCCCATAATGGGCTTATAATAACCCGGTAGGCTGTAAATCGTACCAAACAGGTCGACCATTGTTTGACCCGTGCTGTATGGGTAAGGATGAATCTTTTGTAACCATGTGTGTAAAATACTATTGTTAAAAATAAATGCTTTTTAAAATTCAATTTCTTTTGTTTTAATTTTGAATTCAAACGGTCTATAATATTGGTGCATTTCTATAGTATTTTTTGTACGCACCCGTTCTACGATCGACGCGTGCGCACCAAGGGAGAGCAGCTCAAACTAACCCCGGCAAGTTGACAGTTAACGCGGCAACGAAATATGCCCCGAAAGAGCGATCTACATAGGGTGCATTCGACTTGGACGCTTACGCGCTGTGAGCGCTCACGCTTATAAGCACGAATTTTTAGCGTTCGACTTGGCCGATAAGCGCTCAGAATCGATAACTAAATTCCGTTCGTTTTGGAAACTGTGAGCGTCAATAAAGCCGGCCACAGACGTAACTGTATAACTGCGCAACCTGCGACTTGAACATGTATTCTGTAGCGTCTGTGGGTGTTGGTTTTTGCGCAACTTGACAGACTGGTGCAAGCGAGTTGGCATGAGCACTTTTTGATTATTTTAATTGCGCAATCGTTCAAGTCGGCAAGTTCATTCGTTGGCCGCGTGTGGCAGCACATGTCCATATTTTTATTTTACATTGTAGCGAATTTATAATACAAGTTTATGAAGTTATCGACAATTAAAAGTTATGAAATTAGCCTATGAACACTTTGAATTCTCTTCTGATGCTGTAAATATATAAATTAATAAAAAGATATATTTTTAGGTTATGTTTTGACATTTATTATTTGACATTTGTGATATGCTTGCGCAAGTACTTGAACATAAACTTGAACCGTCTGTGGGCGCTGTGAAAATACGCCTGGTTGCGCATTCATTCAGTTGCACATGCATACAGTTACGTCTGTGGCCGGCTTAAGCATCAAAATGGCGGTAACGGTAATTGTGTAAATTTTATTACTTTCTGGATCATTCAACGGGATTATAAACAATTTAACAATTAATAAATAAATAAAATTTGGTTAGCTTATGCTTAATTCATATTAATATTAAAATTAAAATTTAAAATTATTTAAAATTAATTGAATTTAAATTAATTAATATTAATATTAATATTAAAAAATAATTGTAATGCACAGCTCGCCATTTTTGCGTACTCACTGAAATAAGAATGAATGAAATTAGGATTAGATTATGCATTCGTTTTGATAAACGGCCATGACACTTTCAAGTGCCTCACCTCCGTGGCGTGAGCACGTTTGAGCGCAAAATATGTGCTACGATGATGCTACGAGCGTACTTATGTGACACTCACAGCGCCAAGTCGAACGATGAAAGCGCGCTCACGGCGCGCTCACAGCGCGTAAGCGTCCAAGTCGAATGCACCCATGGCCGGTAATCTCCGAACAAAACTCTGTAGCTCGATTTTAGTTTGAGCTGCTCTCCCTTGGAGCGCTCCTGCAGCGATTTGGCACTCATCTGGTAAGAATTTCAACGCGGGCAATCAAACAATTTCGAGAACGTTCGGTTGCGTTTATAAGTGATTAGGATTAGTTTGCAAGCAAAATGTCGATGTGTTACGTTCCAGGGTGCACTAGTGCTAATTTGCTAATACCAAAAAAATGCAAAATTGCATGTATTTCCAGCGAGAAATGACAAAGTACGTAATGAGAATAAAATAACCAAACATTAATCACAAATAAATATTGTTTTGGATGTTGTAGATGTTTGCTATTTGGCTGGTCAAAACTAGTGTTTTCTACTAGAACCTATGTAGTATGTAAAATGATTAATAATATTTACGGGCCTTCAACAATAAGTAAGTATTTTTATCAATATGCATACTTCAAAATACTTGCATCTATTACTACTAGTCTGATATAAGTTTTTATTATAGAATAATAACTGAGACATTTAACAATGCTAGGAATTTTAAGGTTATAGTTATTGAAAGATAAAATTGCCGTCAGACTAACCAACTCACTGATAGGTAAGTTTTTAAGAATTATTCTTGTACTATTAACAAAGGTTTATAATAAATGATTCAACATTGATTTTTGTCAGCAGTTTTTCTCTTGGAAGTAGTTATGAAACGGGTTTACTAAACACAAGTATTGATATGAGACGAATAAACAGGGAAAAACATTAATAAAGAAATTACAAGCCAGTCTGAAACATGCTGAAATATTTGCTGATCTCCCACTGCCACTGGCATTGAATAATAGTATTCATAATGATATATTAAGTCGGCTAAGAGAAGATACTGAATTATTAAATGGAAAGAAATTCATGCTTAATGATAAAATTCTAGCTAAGGGGTAATTTAGGTTTGGCTATGTTCCACGAAAAGTTTGTGAGTAGTGATAGTTGCATTTTGATATTACACAGAAATATTATTATCTGCGTTGTTTAATGATCGTAAAGATAATCACATTGTACAGATTGACAGGAACTGTCAAATGGAAGAAAGTATATATTTGCTAATCTCTTTTTTATTTAGAGGAATAAAACACCATTAATGTGCACCCCTTATTTCTGATAGAGATGTTATTCTTAAATGTGTTATTGAAGATGCCATAAAAAAACTATTAAGTACTTGTACATTACTATTAATAATTTCCTTTTTTTATGTTAATGATGATAATGACATTTTGTTCAACATTCAAATGAACATCAACACTAGTCGTAGAAAATATTAACAGAAACAAAACAGTAACTTAATTGTTAATTAGCATTATTCGAAAAAAATATAAATTGAGTTGCTTGAGAAGATTATCGTATGCATTAATTTTGCAAATGATTTTTAAATATATTTATTTTTTACTTTTTATATGAATATAATTATTTTTCTCTTTTTAGTTTCTAGAAATTTTGTTGCTTTTGCGAATAATGAAAGAGATCCGATAGCTTCTCAAATTTTTGCGAATAATGAAAGAGATCCGATAGTTTCTCAAATTTTTTGATTTATTTATTATTGAGATCGAATTATGAGATGTGTTTAAATTATTTATCTTAATCTAATTGTAATTATAAGTAATCTTTGCTCTAGAAATATACCTATATATATATATATATATTATATATATATATATATATATATACATTTTTATTTCTTTTGTGTTTAGCTTATAAGGATGAATCTTTTGTAACCATGTGTGTAAAATACTATTGTTAAAAATAAATGCTTTTTAAAATTCAATTTCTTTTTTTGTAATTTTGAATTCAAACGGTCTATAATCTTGGTGCATTTCTATAGTATTTTTTGTACGCACCCGTTCTACGATCGACGCGTGCGCACCAAGGGAGAGCAGCTCGAACTAACCCCGGCAAGTTGACAGTTAACGTGGCAACGAAATATGCCCCGAGAGAGCGATCTATATACTCTTCTTTTATCTATGAATGCACCCATAGATAAACAAGTATTCGAGCGATCTATCTTCTTTTATCTATGTATCAAAGACAACATATTCCTTATCTATGATCAAAGATTTGATTTGGTGCATGTCTCATCTTTTTACAAACATGCTCTATGCTTCAAATGTCAAATATCAAATGTAAATCATATATCATATTGAAAAATATCATTGTTTATATTAGATTATTATTTATTCACTACTGTTTTTGTAAATATTTACTGAGTTGAGTATAGGCAGTGTATAAAATATATAAAGATGTCGAAAGAAACGTTTATGTCTATGAATGATCAGGCAATTAAAAGTCAACCACCAGAATATTCACCAGAAAAAATTAAACTCGAATATGAGGTTGAATTTGATGATCCTGATGCTATTGTTAAATCTGAATCGTGTTCTAAGGATGCGTGTTTGGATAGTGTCATGAATTCCGAGATGACGATTGAAGAAGTCAAACAGGAGGCACCCACTTATGAATGTGACATTTGTAATCAATCATTTGTAGAATCACATCATTTAAAAGAACATATGGTCAATCACATGCCTAGTCATAGCAAAGAACTCCATTTTAATTGCAAAATATGCAATAAGACATTCACACAATCAGGACATCTGAATAACCACATGCTGATACACAATGGGGTACGCCCCCACGAATGCAATATTTGCAATAAAACATTCACACAATTGAGTAATCTGAAAACTCACATGGTCATTCATAGTGGAGTACGTTCCCATGAATGCAATATATGCAATAAGACATTTGCACTATTAGGTAATCTAAAAACTCACATGCTTATTCATAGTGGTGTTCGCCCCCATGAATGCACTGTATGCAATAAGACTTTCACAGAATTAGGACATCTGAAACGTCACATGCTGATACATAATGGGGTACGGCCCCATGAATGCAATATATGCAAGAAAACCTTCTCACAATTAAGTCATCTGAAAACTCACATGGTTATTCACAAGGATGAGCGTCCCTATGAATGCAATATGTGCAATAAAACATTCACACTATTAGGTAGTCTGAAAGTTCACATGCTTATTCACAGTAGTGTTCGCCCCCATGAATGCAGTATATGCAATAAGGCATTTGCGGAATCTGGTAGTCTGAAACGTCATATGCTGATGCACAATGAGGTACGATCTCATGAATGCAGTATTTGTAATAAGAGATTCAAACATTCAAGTAATCTAAAAAATCACATGGTCATTCATAGTGGTGTGCGTCCCCATGAATGCAACATATGCAATAAAACATTTGCTTTATTAGGTAGACTGAAAACTCACATGCTCATTCACAGTGGTGTTCGCCCCCATGAATGCAGTATATGCAATAAAACATTCACACAGCGAAGTAGCCTGAAAACACACATGATAATTCACAACAGAGAGCATCCTTATAAATGTGAAATATGCAATAATGAATTTACTCAATCAAACGATTTGAAGAAACACATGGTACTTCATAGCCAGAAGCATGATGAAAATCAATGAAAAATTTAAATCTTTGAAAACATGTTGTAAAATATTCTTAAATAGAATAGAAATAAATTTAATAGCTTAAACAGCAAAAGAATGTATAAATATTATGACATATACAGCAAACCTTACATAATATTCATTATCAAAGCAATATTGTAATTTTTTTATATTATAATTTTCATAAATTAATTTATAATAAAGTTAATTAGCAGGCACAGGTTCCTTTTAATAACATATAATGATATTTACCAACTAGTTAAAAATTATTATGTTTTTTACACTATATACATCCATATATCCATATGGGTGATGTTAAATGTAGAACTGCTTTAAATAAAATGATGAGTCTGAGAACCCACACTTAACTCTTTAATTATACTGTGAAATTCAATTCAGCCACGTAAAACCATCAGCAAACAAATATTGAAATTTGTTCAATAAAATAGTATATTAGAAATATACACTATATGCAATAGTATACTATTGATTAAATAAGTTTATATCCAATAGCTCAATTTATTTTAATGCCATGGGTTATCCAATATTTTCATTCCAACCTGTAAATGTAGATGTATAAAAAATAATTTTTGGTGTATTCACGACTAAAACGTCGATTTTCCAAATATGTCACACAAAAATTCATCGTCTGCCTTTGTGATTTATAGCATAAGATATACGCATTGGAATTTACAGTTTTTTAAACAGTACAACGAATTAAGAAAGAATTAATATATAGTATCCGCGGTAAAGGTACAATATCACCTTGGATTTTTTCACACAAAATAATTGCTTCAACAATGTTGCCTATAATTTCTATAATCTCGTACTATATATTAATAGTTTTCTGTAATAATAATATTTAAATTAGTTTTTAATAATAATTCAATATACATTATCACTTAACTTCATTTTTAAGTGAATTGATTGGTTTAAATCCTGTTCATATGTGCACTATTCTATCTACTATCAATGAAATTAGTACAGCAAATGGAGAGGAAAAGGGAACTTATTTACTGTGCTTCAATTTATGTGATATTTTGGAATCTCTTGAACCAAGTTAAATCTAGACGAAATACGATTAATTGTAATTTTGATAGAAATGGCACTCATAAAACTATTTGCTTTAAATGTAAAAAACAGACCCTTAACAGTACTCATTTGAAAGCTTATTTTGAGCACTATAAAACCCCATGGAATCTGTAAAATGTAACACCTCACCGCTAAACGGCTCCAAATACAACAATTAAACTTCGAACGTAATAAAAAAACGACTTTGCACTTCATATCTATCTTAACATTGTTCCACCGATTTATTGAAACCTTAAATTATATAATTTTGTTCATTATGTGATTTTCATTAAAATTTTAATATTTGAAGATTGTATTTGTGAAAAACGATAAAAAACGCCAAAAAGAAACAAATTTTCAGTATTTGCTTTTTTTGAAAAACATGAAACATTTTTCTCTTATAATTAGATCTTTCATAGTTATTTTGAAAAAAAAAATCACCACTATGTCAGAGAAGCTATGTCATCCGAGAAGCAGCAAAGAAGTCTAAATTATATTCACTTTCTGAGAGCAAAATGAACATGATACCAAAATTTAATACAAATTGGAGCACAGCTGCTTTTCGGCAATAAAAGTGTAGACATTACATTTTTCTTATTCATAATCTTGAATATATTATATTTTAATATTGTCCTAGTTCCTAAGTGAATGAAAATATTTGGCAAATGACAGTCTTCATTTGTTTTTAATGTCAAACAATGCCTCAAGTACTTTCAATGTTAGTCAACGATAAGCGGTTTTTTTGCATAATTTTTTTATTTATTTCTACAATCTGACTATATTTCTATAGTTCAAAAAATCCTAGATAATTCCCTTAAGAAATTTCAGAAAGATTTATCAAAATCCGAATACTCGTTTAGGAGAATTATCCTTTTATACAACATTACAGCCCACCCATAAAATATTTGGAAAATTTCTTTGTACTTCGAGCGCTGTTTTTAGATGAGGGAACAGAAGGAAGTCGCTTAGGGTCAATTCTGGTGAGTAAGGCGGATGATCAAGCAGTTTAATCAGTATTTTTTTAATTTTTTCCAGTGCTGTTTCCTGTTTGAAACAGAATTTTCTTTTCATGCAAATGTGGCCGGTTTCCGTAATATGCGCGTAAAAACATATGTTGCCCAAATTATTTCAAAGAGTGGACCTTGGAAATTTTTGCACCGCAAGTGTAAGAATTCGTACATGCTTACTTTTCAAACATGACTGATGCTAAGAAGATCAGAAATTTGTACAATGATGAGCTTACCTATCATTTACGATAGGTCTTTAAGAAGAGAATTAAAAAAAAACTATCGACACCCACGATTACTCAACCTCGACTGGAATGAATTACTTACAATTTTTACCGAGTTTTTTATAGACGTCACTTCGGTACTAACTGCGCTCATTTCAAATTCCGATATTAGCTATCTTTAAACTAATGGTGCATGGCATAGTGCCTTAAGGCAAATTGCTGGAACTTCCCGTACCGTAACGAAATGTTCGAGGAATATTAAATGGTTTTAAATAGATTATTAAAAATACTGTAACATTGTGGAAGATTTATAAGAATTGTATAAACTGAATTGCAAAGTTGAAATTATTTGTTTAAAGTATATTAGAACTTTAGTCATAAATAAAATTAAAATCTGAATTATTAAAACAAGCAGAAAGTTTTTCAAATCATTAAAATCGGACGCTTAGTTTTCTCAAAAACTGCCATTTTTTGCACATTTAGCACAGTATCTTCGAAATGGTTGGACACGCCTTTGCCAAAAACTAATTATTACTTCTCCCCATCATTACGAACTTACGTTTTTAGATCATTCAAATCAGATGCTCCGTTGTCTCAAAATCTCGATTTCTATTTTTGGCAAACTTTGCGCAAAATCTCTGAAACGGCTACACCTGTCTTTGCCGAAAACTAATCGGCACATATCCCTATCAATAGGAATCGAATTCTTTTTAAACCATTCAAATCGGTTGATCCGTGCGCCCGAAAACGTGGACAAAAATTTGTATCCATACATACATACACACAATGTCAAAATGTTCAGAAACCTTCAGAGCATAGTGAAATGTAAAAATTTTCAATTTTGATTTTTGGACGATTACAATAACTGACTCTTCTTCTAACTGAGTTTTTGGCAAAGGCAGGTCCAGCCATTTCAAAGATACAGAGCTAAATGTACAAAAAATGGCAGTTTTTAATAGAACTAATCATTCGATTAAAAAAAATCTACTTGTGTTGACAAAACAAATGTTTTTGTGAATTTTTTTTTTTTTAATTTCAAAATATTTTTTTTGTATATCGAAAATTATTCCGATTTTAATTTTAACTGTAGCTCAAGTTTTAAGTATGCAAGTTCTTACATACTTTAAATAAATAATTTTAACTTTGCAATTCAATTTATATAGTTCTTATAAATATTAGACAATGTAACATTATTTATAATAATCTTTTTATTATATTTAATTTTTTAATTACTATTTAATATTCCTCGAACATTTCGTTACGATACGGGAAGTTCCAGCAATTTGCCTTAAGGCACTATGCCATACACACCACTAGTTAGATTAATTATTGGTCTCTACCTTGAAAAGGATTTGAGACTCCAAAAATTCAAATTTTCTAAATTCAAGAGTTAACGCACATATATTTGAGTGTCAAATATATTACAGTAAGGAAGTACTATGCGGCGCGAGTTAAAGAACATTTAACATTAATTTAGTTGAAAACGAAGTTGGTCTTATGCAGTCTTATCAGAAAAACCATTCGCTCATGCTTGAGTCTGAATCGCTTGATTGGTACAGGGGGTACAGGTATATAATTTCGAAAAATCTTGCTGTGATCAGTCGAGCCGTTTCTTTGTAAATAAGTAAAACTAATTAAAAATCGGAATATTCTGGGTTAAGCAGGCTTGTGAATCTTATAAGCTTTAACTATATTATATATAGCAGTTAATTCGTAGAATTAAAAAAATATTTTTGATAACTTTTTACTTATACGTTTTGAAACTTGATATGTGTCATTATTCAGAAAATCATACTAGAAAGCACAAATCGAAATCACAAAACTAAAAAAAGTTCTATAAAATTTTAGTTAATATTAAACACAAAAACATAACTACAACATAAAATTATAAAAATTATAACATCCGTAACTTTTTGTAATATATAAAATTAATCAAAGGTATGAAAAATTTATGTTTGTTTTTAACAGTTCCTGAAGAAACACCTTCCATATTCCCCAGAATTTAGCAATATTTAAAACATGAAAAAAATAAAATAAATTATTTGAAAAACTCAAGACAAATTGCTAAAACTTCCCATGCCAGAAATCATTTTTTTTAAAACTCTGACAAAAATAGATTTGAGAATTTGAGAAATAGATTTTATATTTGCAGGAAATTTAATTAAATTATTATGTAACATAAAAGACCCCTACACGCTTTTTTACTCAACTTAGATACGAAGCAAAAATGCAATCGCGTCGTATTAGTGTGCGATGTACAGCCTTTACGTTCTTGCCCGGGAAATAGATAATTCTGTGTGCCTTCCAGGTTACGTACCTGCTACGCTACGTAACATTCATGGGTTTATTACGTTTTGTGGTTTACTGGGCGTTATACCAAGTAAATCGTCTGATTTTAACTTTAACAAACGTCAAAAAAACTACTCATTTTCTCAAACTTTAATGAATTTTAAGACCATGATATATATTGCCAAAAAAAGTTCCATACAAGAAAACGGCTTGGTAGATTTTCACCTAAAACTGATCAGTATCATTCCCAACTAATATCTTTCGAACAATTTTTGATTTTTTGAAATCGATTTAATATGAGCTTAAATGTCGACTAAAAGTTTAACACATTTTCCAAATTATAAAAAAACGGCTCGGTAGATCGTCGCACAAAACTGACAAACGATAGTCCTGCATTATTGCAATCTCATGAGATACATCAAAT